GAGCTCTTATTGCAATAAATTAACTTGGCCTGCCTGTGATCCAATCAAAACCAGTTCCTGGTCAGCAGTCAACTTCAAAAAACATACATCCTGGATGAGCTCTAAACCTGAGCCTGCAATATGGTCATGTGATACTGCTCAGCAAATACCTTGATTTGGCAGGTGCCAATTGGCTCTAACATGGATGTCCCATATCAAATACGTATGCTGTAAACCATGGCTGCGTGCCTCGGTCGACCCATTAGCTGGAGTATTTTTGTCATGTTGTGCAACATCGCTTTTCATTGTGGGGTGCTCACACTCGCCGCCGCTAGCCATGTTGACCAACGAAAAAGAGTTGCATGGTTTTCTATTTCTATGCAGGCATGTGGTTCTGTTCCCACAGTTACGAGGCTCCACTTGGTGGACCTTTGGGCCACCGGAGCTCCCCTGATGGGAAAGACAACTAACTTAGTTTGTTTTGAGCAAAATGTGTTAGGGGGTTTGAGTTGCAGCTAACCCATAGAAATAAAAAATTAGGATTGTAGCAGTCATAGCAAACACAAGGATTGAATAAACTGTACGATAAACATTATAATCCATCAAATATTTCCGCTCGCACGCGATTGGTTTAAACACATCACGTGACCGAATATTCCCCAGGTGAAACTGGGGATTATCCGAGAATATTCCGCAATTTTCAATGCTACATGCATTGTGAAAAAGATTTGAAGAATAATAAACACAATAGCCTCCATTTGGGGCGAAAATATGCTTGCATAATTGTCCTTGGACATTATCTGTTCCTCGAAGCTCAAAGTTTTCCTCGAGCTATGCTCTCGCAAAACTGTTCGCTTCTCGGAACAGATAATGTTCGCGAACAAATATCCTAGCATATTTTTGCCTCAAGTGGAGGCTATTGTTTATGTAGACCACATAGAAGCACTTAACAGCTTTCATTTGAATGGTCATGCTCTAGGTTTTCGTCCACAGACTTGAAATTAAGAATCACCTTGTACAGCATAATAAGCAGTACTAAATGAAAATACTGCTTAATAGCGTTAATGTGAGCGGTCACACACCCAAGTTTAGATTGAGTGAGACAATGTTTTCGTTTAAGTCAAATAATATTATTTTTGTCTTCATGTCTTTCAGGCATTAAGAAAAGAAGAGCGTAATCAACAAGAAGCAGACAAATTACTTTCGATGGATGAACGCAAAAGACCTTACAACTCCCATAAAGGTGACTATCACGAGGTTACCGAGGAGGACATGG